CTAGAAGCACAGTAACGCCTAAAGATACTAAACCAGAAGCACATTAATGCCTAAGACAGTATCGCCTAAAGATACTTGACCAGAAGCACAGTAACGCTTAAAGATACTTAGCCAGAAGCACAATAACGCATTAAGACACTTGACCAGAAGCACAGTAACGCCTAAAGATACTTGACCAGAAGCACTGTAACGCCTAAGTATACTTGACAAGAAGCACAGTAACGCATTAAGACACGCGACCAGAAGCACATTAACGGCTAAAGATACTTAACCTGAAGCACAATAACGCCTAAAGATACTTAACCTGAAGCACAGTAACGCATACTGACACTTTCACAGAATCACAGTAACGCTTAAAGATAATTAACCAGAAGGACAGTAACGCATTAAGACACTTGACCAGAAGCACAGTAACGCGTAAAGATACTTGACCAGAAGCACGGTAACGCCTAAAGACACTTAACCAGAAGCACAGTAACGCCTAAAGATACTTGACCAGATGCACAGTGACGCCTAAAGATACTAAACCAGAAGCACATTAATGCCTAAAGACACTTATCCAAAAGACAGTAACGCCTAAAGATACTTGACCAGAAGCACAGTGATGCCTTAAGATACTAAACCAGAAGCATATTTATGCCTAAAGACACTTATCCAGAAGACAGTAACGCCTAATGACACTCGACCAGAAGCACAGTAACGCCTAAAGATACTTGACAAGAAGCAGAGTAACGCATAAAGACACTCAACCAGAAGCACATTAACGCCTACCCTTTGTATATGCTACTTCGTGGATACATTGAACCAGTCTGAACTCAAAATACAAGCACGTTTGAAATTCTAAGAAGTGTATGTACCATACATATTCGTAAGTACTATAAGTTTTCGTACGTACTATACGTATTCGTACATGTGCATTTTGAACATTTGTTTTATTGATTTATTCACTACAACCAGATTCCCTCGATTATACGATATGCGTTTAGTCCTTGTGGTTCAATTATACCAAACCTCGAGCTTTGTATTACAAATACTTGCAGCATTCCTCGGCTGCACACTACAGGTCTAGTTGCTCGATGTCAAACTATGTTCAGCAATAGGCCAAAATTACTTATAATATCCCTCGATGGTGCGGCGAGTGAACTCTCCAAATGTGTCACCTTTATCATTGTTCCATCTGCAGTGTGGGCAAACAACGTAGATGAGTTACGTTGTACAGAACACAACGGATGGAACCACAATGCGAATGAAAAATAGTCGAGAGAAAATCCTATCCTGTCTAGAGTCATGATGGCACTATAAACGGTTCCTGGCAGAAACAATACTTGCACATAATTGTCATACTCCTCCTTAGTGATCTTGAACTTATATACACACACGTGAACATCCAACCTTTTATGGATAGATATAAACATTCACAGTTAAATTATGCGGTAGTCGTATGTTTGTAAAGTTGGACCACAATCCATGATAGGATAAATATACATATGCAACAATGAAAGCATCTTTGTTGCTACAATCATATTTAGAAAAGAGTCTGAAAAGGTAGGCACCCAACAACAGATATGCACTTTCCTATAAGTCCTTTTATCAGAAAGAGTATGTAATATGACAATAAACTAACATTTGATGCGACACTGATCATTTAATGCAACACAATGACAATGTAATACTATTTATTAATCAACACTGCAAGGGAATCTACATAACCTGTCTTCATTTGCATGATCGACACATACAAAAGCACGCACACACACACCTCGAAGCCAGAGTAGGCACGGACGGCGGTAGTTGGCCATTGTTAGCCACAGTCTTCTCCACCGTGATACCTTCGCCCTTCGGTAAGGCCACATCGAACAGCTCTCCTGGCTCCATGAACACAGCTAAAGTGGAGCGCGACACATCTTTCACAGCAGCGCCCCGTACCATATGCGGAGTGGCTTTGAGAAGTCCACCGGTATGGATCTGGAGTGTGGCAGTGTGGCAGTGTGTATGTAGTGGTTCAGCACCAAGCATAGAAGAAAGAAAGCACTGAATATGTCCTGATATATACAGTACAGAGAACATGGGCGATACCCTCATATATGCAGTACAGAAGGACATGAATGACTGCGAAAAACAAAGAAAAGAGAACTATACGACCAGAAGTGGCGGCGACAACTGGTCAAGACTTGCGCTTTGACAGACGGTGTCGAGCTGAAAGATAATATGTCATCTTACTAAAATAAAGAGTGCTATGGCCCGCCACACATTCCATTACACCGTGCCATCGTAATCTCCAATCCAACGGCAAGAAAACGCAAAGCTTACACTACGGTAGTGATACAAACCCACACGCCTACGACAGATCACGTGCACACCAGGGAGTGTTTGTGACGAAGGCTATAAAACCCCCATGAAAAAGATTGTGTATGTATCGTGCGTAAAGTACAAGAAAATCTGAGTGTGCAGGAAGACACGTATACAATCATATAAGTGAACATATACCACAGCCCGTCCGTAGCGTGTTGATCACAAGCTACTAGTAAATACCGAGAGTGTATCAAATAACACGCAAACACTCCCAGATACTTCACTGCACGCCTATATTGTGCGTGATGTTGTGTGTATGTTGTGTATGTATGTTGTGTATGTATGTTGTGTATGTATGTTGTGTGTGATGTTGTGTGTATATGTTGTATGTGTTTATGTTGTGTGCGTTTACCTGTGCCGTCTCTCCGATCTGGAACAACATCACATCCTTAGGCGCCTTCGCGTGGATGACCTCACCACTGCGCGATTTGATGTACAGACCAGCCTTGGGGTCTGGGCTGGAGATGGGGTTGCCATTCTTGTCATGGAATTGTCTGTAGAAGGCGAAACCAATGTACAGGGATAAGTGTACACACACATAAGTTGCATACGTGTGTCGTGACGGCCTATGTGAAGCTCGCAGGGCGTGCGGTTCATGTTGCAGAGCATGCACTGAGTATACTGTGATAGCGTTCTACACCCCACCGCACAATTTGTTTGCACTAGCGCAGCACACGAGCATATGAAGGACGTACGAAGGACGTGGGTGTTGTTGAGCGCTGCTACTTGCGCGCACCACTGTTAATATTGTACCAGGCGTAGACACTCACACATACCCTGGCAGCAGTCCCGTCAGTGTGCAATGATCGTTGTGCCATCCGCACCAACTGTCGTCCTCATTCACCGCCATATCACCTGCACCGGCCGCAATCTATGTGTATATTTAGAGAAGCATTAGGACAAACGTAGTGGTTTAGAATCACACACCCGGCGGTATAGTCCTGCAGTCCAAACCCATCTGACGGAGTGATACGAAATGGTATCTTGATTCACGTTCAGGAAGTCAATACCGAAAGGCTAATTGCACCAACGTATACAACAACGCTCCACTCACCTTGGCCTCATCCATGGGGAAGTAGTGCAGAAGTCTAGCCGCGTGATGCTTGCTCTCCGAGACGATTGTCGACATGCGATTTGGTTCGAAATCGGGGATCTGGCTCTTGACGTAGGTGTCACAGTGTGTAGCCAACTTCTTGCCCACAGACATCACCAGTTGACACGCTATACAAACCATAGGATGTGAGTAGTCAGAGACTTTAGTTCTCTTATTCAAGTGCAAGGCTGTGATGAAAATCGCTGCTGTCACAGGTTTTAGTTTCTTCTGAGACAATCCACTGAGTAGCATTCCGTAGAGCACAACAAAGATTTTGCCCAACCGGTAAATATAAACGAAGTCACTACTACGGCACAAGCTCATACGAGCCCGTGCAAACAAGAATGATACAATTCCATTGGACATACCAGCCTTAACATTGGTCTCGAATTCGGGGATTTCCTCCTCGGGGAACACGTTGTCTCCGTAGAAACCAGGATACTTGGCGATGGTAGCAGCATCGACATCAGGGAAGCTGTCCACCTGGGGGTTGACGTAGAACGAACCTGTGCGGAAGAAAATATGAATGAATTCAAGATACAAATAAATACAAAATATAAATAGAAAACTTTGTGAGTACATAGGCAATGGAGCGTCGATGGGTGAGGTGGATATAGAATAGGTTACTGATGTGACGCATGTATACTTCCGAGCTTCCATGTTTGCCAGAGAGCTTGTAAGTGCCATGCAATAGGACCGACAAATTGTTACACACATCGAACCAACTTCAAAAATCATATACAATTGCGATAGACAGGCGCGTAAGTTCCTTACCTAAAAAAAAGCATAACAATGTATATTCGCATATTCGCAAATTTACAAATTCCTATACACCTCACGACTGAGGTGGTACATACACGCACACGTACGTATAAGTCCTACTCGTCAACCATACCCTAAGAGTATCTACCTATATGTATTCATATACCTAAAACCAAGTACATACATACCCTTGGACAGATCCGGAACGCCATCCTTCATGGATTCGTGTCCGCAGTCCCAGCCCCTCTGGTAGAATGGCGGCACTTCATACTTCTCCTTTGTACTTTGGGGCAGGTTTGCGAACTTGTATGCCAGCGGCAGGACATTCTCGCGTGTCTTGGCAAAACCTGCAACCATTGGTAGTTGAATGTGAGATCGGTCGTTGTTGTGCTGCGCGAGTCACACGATATGCATATACCCGTACTATGACAGCGTGGATAGAGTACTAAGTCGCCAAGGCCAATGTTGTCGTTCTAGTTGCACGCGTGTGTGGGAGTGTCGGATTGCGTTTATATATAAATATATAAATATATATAAATATATAAATATATAT